CAGGAGGGCCGCTTTCTTCCCAAGATGGAGGACATCTTCTGTGAAGACCTGCAGAGGTGATGATGGTTCAAGCAGCAAAGAGTTTCTTCAGCCCCATTAGGGCAGCTCTCAGATGAGTCTTTGTGCATGGGTGAGGCCTGGAGAACTGCCCAGCCCATTTGCGTGGTGCCACACAGGCTTCGGGACCACAGGGGTCATGCAGGAGCTTTCATCTCAGTCCTCAGGGTTGTTGCGGGGGCAACAACCTGAGGTCAGGTTGTTGTCAGACCCACAGGGTCAGGCCTTAGTGTTTCAAGGTTCACACCCACCCATGGCCCTGAATGGGCCTGACGCTGTTGAGCAGTGAGCCATCCCAGTGGCGCCACATTGAGCCTGGTAGGGGTGCGTTCCTATTTCAATGGGGTTGGGTCAATGTTGAGCTCTGGCTGGCACCTGATGGTGATGCAGGCTGGCCCAGGGACTTGGGGGCTTCGGGCCATGTCAGCAGCCCACATCCTGCTGGGGGCCACGCCTTTCCTGAGTTCCAGTGTAAGGATGGGTGGCCTCCTTAGGTGGGAAGGCCCGCTGTCGAGGGACCTTGTTGAGGAATTTGCTGCCCAGGCTGCTTCTGAGCCATGGCACCCCCAGGTGGCAGGGTCTTGGGTCCAAGGAATGGGGAAGATACCATGTGACCTCCGATTGGTCCAGTATTGCCTGGCTCTGTGTTTGGCCAATGGATGGGGCGGGATGGGAACACATCAGAAAGCACATAGCTATGCGGCCCCAGGCTGCGATTTCTGATGTGCGCTTTGAGAGGGCGTCTGGTTGGCATCCACCATGTCCAGGGGCAGGCTATGCAACTGCCAGGTCTGCAACAGTGCCTGGCAGGAGGACCAGCCTTTTTTGTTGGTTGTGAGCTGGTTGGTGGCCCTGCACCGTACCCAGTGGTTTTCATGCAGCCCTGGGGTCATATGGAGCAGCTCGCGTGTTGAGGGGAGGTTATCCTGAGGCCTGCAGTAGGCACAGCCCAGGCATCCTGCCAGAGCCCAATGACCCACCTACCCTATCTTTGCAGGGTTCAGTGGTGCGGAGGGCCAGGGGTGCCCCGTATTCATGACAGGTCAATATTTCACATGGATCCCAGCACATGGGTCCTCCTCCTGTCCCCCTAGATGGTGAGCCCAGAGGAAGACTTGTGTTGGGCCTGCTGTGCTTGGGCGAGAGGTTATCAGATAGAGGCCCAGGCCCTATTGGAATGAAGCTTGGGCCCTTTCTGACACCCTGGTCTCCTTCATGGAGCTGGTGAGCCCATCTGGGTCCTGCTGGATCCATGCATTGGGAGGGGAATACCACAGGTTGGGTCAATGATGAGAATCTTACATTGTTCTGAAGAGAGATGATGACTTAAAAATCATGCTCAATAGGATTACGCTGAGGCTCAGCCTAGGGGAGAATTTTGGAAGAAGACACTGGGATCCTAAGGTCAGTAGCAGGGCCACTGTATTTGGGGCTAGAGACCTCAAGGCTCTGAAGGACATCTCGAGGGGGTCCAACCCTGTCTGCGTTCCTCTGTGAGGCAACCTTGGCTCCCTTTGCAGGCTTGGTGTGGGTGCTCTAGTTCCCAGGATGGGGCATGTTGGTGGCTCCTCCCTGAACCCCTCTACTCCCCTTGTGTGTTTCAGTGAGCTCTTCTGTGCAAATGGGCCCTTTGGCATTGAGCAGCATAGGTGAGTGGGTCTTGCTGGGGTCATGGGTCATGAACGTACAGAGTGAGGTGACTGAGCATCTGCCTTGGGCCATCAAGGTTTCCTAAAAGTATTGACCTGAATTCCCACTGGGGATGAGTTCTCCAGAAGGGCCGCTTCCTTGGGAATTGAACCCAAGGAGGACGCCTATCCTGAAGGCGGCAGGGGTGATGGTGGTCCAGGCAGGAAAGGGTTCCTTCAGCCCCACGCAGGGCAGCTCCCACCTGCGACTTGGTGTGTTGGTCAGGCCTCGAGGATGCCCAGTACACATGAGGTGGCCACAGGGGCTCCGGGGCCCTGCAGGGTCTCGTGGGGGCTTTTAATTCACAAAGAGTAGTGTGTGATTGGGCCCATGGGAGTCATGTCACAGAGTTTCAAGGACCGCACTCCACGCATGCTCCTGAATGGGCCCGACACTGTGGAGCAATGGACCATCCCAGTGGCGCCTCCTTGAGTCTGCTGGTGGGGGGTGCTGTTTCCCTGGGGTTAGGTCAAGACTGAGCTCTGGCCAATGCCTTTTGGTGCAGCAAGCTGGCCCTGGACCTCGTGGGCTTTTGGCCAATGGGGACAGCTTGGGTCATGCCTGGGATCACTCTTTGCGGAGGTTAAATGGCGGAAAAGGTGGCTTCCTCAGGTGGTAAATTCCCCTTTTGAGCAACCTGTCCTGGGAATCTGCCAACCAGGCTGCTTCTGAGCCATGGGGTTATCTCCAGGGTGGCAGCCTCTTAGGTCCAAGGAAAGGGGGGCACACCATGTGTCCCCGGATTGGTTGAGTGTGGCCCAGCTCTGTGTTTGGGAGGTGTGCAGGGCATAGAGGGGGACCCATCAGAGAAACTGTGTGGTCCCGTAGCCCAAGGCTGTGATTTCTGGTTCACGCGGGGACATGGGCAGGGGCAGGCTCTCGACTGCCAAGTCAGCAGTGGCACGTGGCATCCTTGCCAGCCTCCTGTTTGGCCATGAGCTGGTTGGTGGCCCTGGCCTATGTCCAGTGGTCCCAGGGTGGCCCTGACCTCATTCAGGGCAGCTGGCGGGGCAGTGGAGATGCTCTTGGGACCTGCAGTAGGGTGCCGCCTGGCCTTCCTGGGTTTGGTGGCAGGGAGGGCCAAGGGTGCTCCGTGTCCGTGTCCCTGACAGGTCAGTGTTCCAAATGGATCCCATCACATGGGTGATGGGTATCCCCCACTCGCCTTCCTTGCATGGAGGCATGAGGCCCTATTTGGACACATGTCCTTCTCCTGTCCCCCTAGGTGGTGAACCCAGAGGAAGACTTGCATTGGGCCCAATGTCTCTGGGCCCATGTCCGTCAGCCATGTGCCCAGCCCCTGGTGCACTGAAGCTCAGGTCCTTCTTGGCACCCTGGTGTCATGCACTGAGCTGTGGTGAGCTTGTCTGGGTCCCACTGGATGCATGTGTGGGAGGAGGTTGGCTTCAGTTGGGTCAATGATGAGAACTTTATATTGTCCTGAAGAGAGGTGATGACTTAAAAATCATGCTCAATAGGATTACGCTGAGGCCCAGCCTAATGAGAATTTTGGAAGAAGACACTGGGATCTCGAGGTCCCTGGCAGACTGCTGTATTTTTGACTGGAGACCTCAAGGTCCTGAAGGGCGTCTTGGTGCCCCCCAGCCTTGTCTCTGTGCTTCTCTGTGAGGCAACCCAGGCTCCCTGTGGGGGCTTGGTGTCAGAGTCCCATTCCCTGGGGGCGAGGCAGGTTGGTGGCTCCTCCCTGAGTCACCCTTCTTTGTGTCTTTTAGTGAGCTCTTCTGCCCAGGTGGGCACCCTGGCATTGACTGGCATAGGTGAGTGGAACCTGCTGGCATCATGGTCCACGAACCAGGCTGCGTGGGGATGCTGGTTCAGCCTTTGGGACAGGAGGGTTTCCTCAGGGAGCCGGGGAATGGGTTCCCCACTAGGGAGGGATGGGTTCTCCAGGAGGGCCGCTTTCTTCTGAACGGGTCCCATGGAAGACATCTTCTCTGAAGACCTGCGGAAGTGACCATGGTTGAAGCAGCCAAGAGTTTCTTCAGTCTCATGCAGGGCAGCTCCCAGATGAGACTCTGTGCATGGGTCAGGCCTGGAGAACTGCTCAGGCCACCTGTGGAGTGCCACACGGGCTTCAGGGCACCACAGAAGTCATGCAAGAGTTCTCAGTCCTAGGGTTGTTGCAGGGGCGGTGACTGAGTGGTCAGGCCCACAGGGTCAGGCCTTAGTGTTTCAAGGTTCACGCCCACCCATGGCCCTGAATGGGCCTGACACTCTTGAGCAGTGAGCCATCCCAGCAACGCCACATTGAGCCTGGTGTGGGTGTGTTGCTGTTTCAATGAGGTTGGGTTAAGGCTGAGCTCTGGCCGGCACCTGATGGTGCTGCAGGCTGGCCCAGGGACTTGTGGGCTTCGGGCCAGGTCACCAGCCTTTGTCCTTCATGGAGGGGATCACAGCTTTCCTGAGTCCCAGTGTAAGGATGCGTGGCCTCTTTAGGTGGGAAGGCCTGCTGTTGAGGGACCTTGTTGAGGAATTTGCTGCCCAGGCTGTTTCTGAGCCATGACATCACCTTCAGGTGGCAGGGTCTTGGGCCCAAGGAATGGAGAAGACACCATATGGCCCCTGATTGGTCAAATGTGGCCTGGCTCTGAGTTTGGGAGGTGAGATGTGTAGGACATGGATGGGGACACACCAGAGAAAGCACGTAGCCATGGGGCCCCAGGCTGAGATTTCCAGTATGCGCTTGGAGAGGGTGCCTGATTGGGGGCCTACCGTGCCCAGGGGCAGGCTCTGCAACTGCCACATCTGCAGTGGCTCCTGGCATCAGGACCAGCCTCGTTTATAGGCCGGGAGCCGTTTGGTGGCCCTGGCCCATGTCCAGGGGTCTCTGTGCAGCCTTGGGTTCATGTGGAGCAGCCGGCGTGGGCAGTGGAGGTTATCTTGAGGCCTGCAGTAGGCACAGCACAGGTGTCTTGCTGGAGCCCAGTGACCCACCTGCCCTGTCCTTCCAGGGTGTAGTGGCGGGGAGGGCCAAGGGGTGCCACATGTCCATGACAGGTCGGTATTTCACATGGATCCCATCACATGGGTCCTCCACCTGTCCTCCTGGATGGTGAACCTGGAGAAGGATTGCACTGGGCCCACTATGCCCAGGCCACAGGCCATCTGCCAGATGCCAAGGCCCTGTTGCACTGACCCTCAGGTCCTTCCTGTTACCCTGGTCTCCTGCATGGAGCTGGTGAGCTGATCTGAGTCTAGCTGGATACATGCTGGGGTAGAGCGTACTCTAGGTTGGGTCAATGATGAGAACCTTATATTGTCCTGAAGAGAAGTGATGACTTAAATATCATGCTCGGCTGGGCGCGGTGGCTCAAGCTTGTAATCCCAGCACTTTGGGAGGCCGAGGCAGGTGGATCACAAGGTCAAGAGTTTGAGACCATCCTGGTCAACATGGTGAAACCTCGTCTCCGAAAAATACAAAAAATTAGCTGGGCATGGTGGCACGTGCCTGTAATCCAAGCTACTCAGGAGGCTGAGGCAGGAGAATTGCCTGAACCCAGGAGGCAGAGGCTGTGGTGAGCCAAGATCCCGCCATTGCACTCCAGCCTGGGTAACAAGAGCGAAACTCCGTCTCAAAAAAAAAAAAAAAAAAATCATGCTCAATAGGATTACGCTGAGGCCCAGCATAGGGGAGAATTTTGGACGTGGACATTAGGAATCATGAGGTCCCTGGCAGGGCCACTGTAATTTGGGCTGGAAACATTGAGGTCCTCAAAGGCCTCTCAGGGGTACCCAGCCCTGTCTCTGTGCTCCTCCATGAAGCTCACCAGGCTCCATGTGTGGACTTGGTTTGACCCACCTGTTCCCCAGGGGCAGGGCACACTGGGGGCTGCTCTCTGAGCCCCCGTTCTCTGCTTGTGTCTTTCAGTGAGTTCTTCAGCTCAGAAGGGCCCCTTGGCCTTGACCTGCATAGGTGAGTACACCCTGCTGGCGTCATGGGCCATGAGTCAGGCCCTGTGCTCTCCCTGAGGGTCAGTCTTCCGGACAGGAGGGTTTCCTCAGGGAGCTGACCTGTGTCTCCACTGGGTAGGGACAGTTTCTCCAGGAGGGCAGCTTACTTGGGATTCGTACCCAAGACCTTGCCTTTCTGAAGACCTGCAGGGTAACAGTGGTCCTAGGCAGGAAAGCGTTCCTTCGGCCCCACGCAGGGCAGCTTCCCTCTGAGACTGTGCGTGTGTCAGCCTGGAGAACTGCCCAGGCCACGCGAGGGGGTCACAGGGCCTCCGGGGCACCACGGGGATCATGCAAGAGCTCTCTTTCCCTGCAGAGGGGTGCCTGAATAAGGTCATGGAGTCGGGCCATGGACATTCAAGGATCGTACCCCAACCATGGCCCTAAAAGGGCTGACCCTTTTGAGGAATGGGCCATCCCGTAGCGCATCTTTGAGCTTTGTTGGGGGCATTGCTGTTGCACTGGGTGTGAGTCAAAGCTGAGTTCTGGCCAATGCGTGGTGGTGCTGCAGGCGGGCCCTGGGAATTGTGGGCTTTAGGCCATGTCGGCCGCCCTCGTCCTGCTGGAGGACACCCCTTCCCCACGGTCAGAGGCTGGAAGAGTGGATCCTGAGGTGGGAAGGCCTGCTGTCAATTATCAATGGTCCTGTCCCTGGAATTTGCTGCCAGGCATTTTCTGTGCCACGTGGTCATCTCCAGGGTGGTGGAGTCTTGGGCATAAGCAAAGGAAAGGACACTCATGTGGCCCAAAGTTGTCCGAGGGTGGCCCAGCTCTGTGTTTGAGACACGTGCAGGGCATGGATGGGGACCCACCACAGAAAGCACGGGGCCCTGGGACTCCAGGCTTCTATTTCAGTATGGCTTGCAAAGGGCCACACCCAGGGGCAGGCTGTGCCGCTTCCATGTCCACAGCGGCACGTGGCTTCTGGGCCAGCCTCCTCGGTTGGCCATGAGCTGGTTGGTGACCTCGGCCCATGCTCAGTGATCCCAGAACAGCCCTGGGATCGTGCGAAGGGGAAGGCAGAGGGGCAGAGGAGGTGCCCTTAAGGTCTGCAGTAGGGCACTGCCTGGGGGTCTTGCCCAAGCCCAGTGACCTCCCTGAACTGTTTTTTCAGGGTTTGGTCATGGGGAGGGCCAAGGGTGCCCCATGTCCGTGACGGGTCAGTGTTCCACATGGATCCCATCACATGGTAACCCTTACCCCCTTCCCCACATGCAGGCGTGAGGCCCTGACTGGACACATGTTCTCCTTCTGTCCCCCCAGACGTTGAGCCCGGAGGAAGACTTATGTGAGGCCCAGTGGACCCAGGCCAGTGTCCGTCAGCCAGGTGCTCAGTCCCTGGTGCGCTGAAGCTCAGGCCCTTCCTGGCACCCTGGTCTCCTGCACTGAGCTGTGGTGAGCATATCTGGGTCCCACTGGATCCATGCGTGGGGAGAGGTGTGCTCTCGGTTGGGCCAATGATGAGAATCTTATATTGTCCTGAAGAGAAGTGATGACTTCAAAATCACGCTCAATAGGATTACGCTGAGGCCCAGCCTAGGGGAGAAAATTGGAAGACCATGCTGGGTCCCACTGGATCCATGCTTGGGTTGGGGGGTGCCCTGGGTTGGGTCGATGATGAGAACCTTATATTGTCTTGAAGAGAGATGATGACTTAAAAATCATGCTCAATAGGATTACGCTGAGGCCCAGCCTAGGTGAGAATGTTGGAAGAGGACGCTGGGATGCCCAGTCGCCTGGCAAGGCCACTGCATTTTGGGCTAGAGACCTGGAGGCCCTGAAGGGCATCTGGAGGGGTCCAGCCCTGTCTCTGCGGTCCTCTGTGAGGCAGCCCAGGCTCCGTGTGCGGGCTTGGTGTTGCTGCTCCTGTTTCTGCGGGCAGGGCACGTGGGTGGCTCCTCCTGAGCCCCCACTCTTTCCTTGTGTCTTTCAGTGAACCCTTCTGCCAAGGGTGGCCTCCTGGCATTGACCAACATAGGTGAGTGGATCCTGCTGGGTCATGGGTCCTGAGCCAGGCCATGTTGGGTCACCGAGGGTCAGCCTTTGGGCCACGAGGGTTTTCCCCGGGAGCTGACCTGGATCCCCACCAAGGAGGGATGGTTTCTGTAGGAGGGCGGCTTCCTTGGGAATTTTGCCTAATGAGGATGCCTTCCCCGAAGCCCTGCAGGGGTGATGATGGTCCAGATAGCAGAGGGTTTCTTCAGCCCCATGCAAGACATGGCCCAGTGAGAGCTGGTGTGCGGGTCAGGCCTCGAGGACTGAGGTGGGCCAGAAGGGCTCTGGGGTGCCATGAATGCGAGAGCTCTCAGTCCCCGAGTTTGTTCCAGGGTGCGGTGACAGGGTTGGGCTATGGAGGTTCAAGGGTCTCATCCCCTCTGTGGCCCTGAGTGGGGCTGACCCTGTTGAGCAGCGGGCCATCCCAGTGGCACGTACTCAGCCTGGTGGGAGTGGTGCAGTTTCAATGTGGTTGGGTCAAGGCTGAGATCCGGCCGGCGCCTGGTGGTGCTGAAGAGCATCCGTGGGACCCGTGGGCTTTGGGCTATGGGGTCAGCCTGCATCCCACTGGGGGTCACCTGTTCTCTGAGTTTTAGTGGCAGTAATGGTAGCATTCTGAGGTGGGGTGGCCTATTGTCCCCGTACCGGCAATTTGCCATCCGTTTTTTTCTGAGCCATGGGGTCACCTCCAGGGTGGCAGGGTCTTGGGCCCAAGGAAAGGAGAAGATACCGTGTAGCCGTTGATTGGCCGAGTGTGGCCCGGCTCTGTGTTTGGAGGTGTGTGGGATATGGATGGGGTCCCACCAGTGAAAGCACGTGGCCTGTCTCCAGGCTGTGATTTTCAGTGCACACTTGGAGAGGGCGCCTCGGCGGTTGCCTGCCACACCCGGGTCAGGCTATGTGACTGGCAGATTTGCATGGTGCATACCTTCCGAGCTGTCCTCCTTGGTTGGCTGTGAGCTGGTTGGTGGCTGTGGCTCATGTCCAGTGGTCACAAGGCAGTCCTGAAATCATGCTGGGGAGCCAGCGGCGGCACTGGAGGTGCTCTCTGGGCTGGTAGTAGGGCGCAGCTCAGGCGTCTTGCCGGAACCCAGTGACCAGCCTGCCCCGTTTTTTCAGGGTTTGGTGACCGGGAGGGCTAAGGGTGCCCTGCATACCTGACGGGTCAGGGTTCCACATGGACCCATCACGTGGGTATCCCTTAATGCCTTTTCCACACTGAGGTGTGAGGCTCTATTTGGACACGTGTACTCCTCCTGTCCCCCAGATAGTGAGCCCAGAGAAAGACTTGCGTTGGACACAATGGCCCTGGGACAGTGTCTGTCAGCCAGGTTCCCAGCCCACGATGCGCTGGAGCTCAGCCCTTTCCCGGGGCCCTGGTCTCCTGCACTGAGCTTGGTGAGCACATCCTGGTCCCACTGGATTCATGCGCGGGGAGTGGGTGCCCTGGGTTGGGTCAATGATGAGAACCTTATATTGTCTGAAGAGAGGTGATGACTTAAAAATCATGCTCAATAGGATTACGCTGAGGCCCAGCCTAGGGGAGAATGTTGGAAGAAGATGCTGGGATCCCCAAGTCCCCAGCAGGGCCCCTGCATTTTGCGCTGGAGACCTAATGGCTCTGAAGGGCATCTGTAGGTGCCCAACCTGTCTCTGTGCTCCTCATGAGGCAGCCCAGGCTCCCTCTGCGGGTCTGGACTCGGTGCTCCAGTGGCCTGGACTGGGGAACCTTGGTGGCTTCTTCCTGAGCCCCTGTTCTCTCCTTGTATTTTTCAGTGAGCTCCTCTGCCCAGGTGAGCCGCCTGGCATTGACTGTAATAGGTGAGTGGATCCTGCTGGGGTCATTGGCCATTAGCCAGGCTGTGTCGGGCCCCCAAGTTTCAGCTGTTGGGCCCCAAGGGTTGTCTCAGGCAGCCAACCTGATTTCCCACCTGGGAGAGATGGGTTCTCCAGGAGGCAGCTTTTTTGGGAATCACACCCAAGGAGGAAGCCTTCCCTGAAGCCCTGCTGGGGTGATGGTGGTCCAGGCAGGAAACGGTTCCTTCTGCCCAATGCAGGTCAGCACTCACCTGAGACTTGGTACTCCAGTAAGGCTTGAGTCCTGCCCAGACCACATGAAAGGGGCCAGAAGGGCTTCGGTGCCACAGGAGTAACAGGGGAGCTCTTGGTCCCCAGAGTGTGGTGTGTTAATGGGCCCATGGGGTTGAGTTGCAGAGATTCAGGGATCCTGCCCCACCCATGGCCCTGAATGTGACCATCCCTGTTGAGCAATGGGCTCTCCCAGTGGGTCTCCTGGAGCCTGGTGGGGGACAGTGTTATTTCCCTGGGGTTGGGTCAAGGCCGAGGTCTGGCTGGTACATGATGGT